GCTGTAACCACTGTCAATATGCTTGTAGGACAATAACATAGGCAGTTCAAGATTCAGATTCTGAAAAATTTAAAATATACACAGTTAAAAGGTTTATTTGAATAATAACGTAAAACCAGCTGTTTTAGCATTTTCAAAAATAAATCAAGTAGTAAATTTTGTTATGAGTAAGGCAGCCGTCTTAACAAAGTGTCAAGTTTTATTCACATGCAGGGGAGGAAAAAAGAGTGACACAATCACCAGATTTTAATCCTTTCTTCATTTGTCAGGTGACTAGATTCAGACTTGCTCTTTGCTTCTGGACTACTCCAGGGTACTCCCAGTAATTCTTTGCCACTGGGATTATCTACCATAGCAGAGGTTTAGCTCACTATGATCCTTTCCTCCAATCAAGGAGCTCTTTGCAAACAGGGACAACATGTTATTTATCTTTGTACCTCCAGCACCCAGCACAGTGTCTGGCACATACGAGATGCTTAGGAAATGTTGAATGAATGAATGGATTGCTTTTTTCTTTTTGGATGCATTAGTTTGGACATACAGTCTGAAGATATATTCAGTTTGGAAAGATTATTGTGAAAACACTTTTTCTTTACTGAAAGAAGCCATTTCCCCTCTATAATAACCAGCTGCCATCGAGTTGATTCCGACTCACGGCGACCCCATGTATTGCACAGTAGAACTGCGCTTCACATAGGGTTTTCAATGGCTATGATCTTTCAGAAGTAGATCACCAGGTCTTTCTTCTCAAGCACCTCTGGGTGGATTTGAGCCACCCAGAGATTAGTAGCCACAGAACTTTCCATACTGAATCTGTAGATTCTCTGTCTTCTAAACATTGTCAAATGTTGTGGTTGGGACGGGATATGAGAGGCAAACTAATCACTGAGTGTAAATCAGGTATCTTGAAAATTGGATCACCGCTCAGTCCTATGTCAAGGGAGGGAGCCTAAATTTGATTCTCTACACTAAAGCCCTGAGTAGTGCAGGGCCTTAAGTGTGTGCGGGGTGGGGGTCCTTCCCATTCTGGTGCATTCCCTTATCACAGTGAGAACAGAAGTCCTCTAGGATACTTTTCAACTCTGAGGCTGTCATTTCATGGATTCTTTTTTTTTTGTTGTTCCACATTCTTAAGAACCAGTGTTAGTTCTTTAGTGCAGAATCATGGTGACTAACCAAAATGAGGTTGTCATTCAAGGAACAAACTCAGTGGCTAAACTAATTGCCAAATATTTTCCTTAGAGGAAAAATAATGCCACATGAAAATCTATTCCTGGATGAAATAACTACATTAAAAATAAAACAAAAACAATTGTTTTCTTTAAAAAAAAAAAAAAAAAAAAAAAACTTCCCTAATTCTACGTTATACATTGTAGGAGTTAAGGCCCTGGAGAGGCCAAAAGCAGAAGCAGTGTCTGCTACCCAGCCCTGTCCACAAACCACAGACCAAACTAAAGAAAGCCATCCAGGGGGATACAAAGTTAACTGGAGGATACAAAACTAACTGGAACCACTATAGCCAAAAGGCAGCACACAACTTAAGACAAGGCTGTCTGGGACTAAGGGCTGAAGACTGTGAAGGCTACTGGGAAGCAGATTCCTTGCCTAGGGCAAACAAACATGCAGGCGAGTCACTCAAAATGGGGGAAAAGATGTGCACTGAGGCTAAATGTGTCTGCCCCCAAAATAAGGTTGTAGATGCAGACCATGAGGAACTACAGGTGACAAAAGAGTCAACTGATTCAATCCATTAGTTCTATTTTTTTAATTCTTTGTGTGTGTGTGTGTTGGGGGGGAGGGATGACAAAACAAAACAAACGGGCCTATGAGGTGGACTTGCAATCGTTAGCGTTCAAGTGAACCGACCTGCGATTTCACTGATGATGATCAATAGTTTTTGTGAATGTATGAAAGATGGCCTTGCCCTAAGCTGTATGGAGTTGCTTCCAAACTGACAAGCATGTGAAGCTCGTTCATGAATTACTCCAAAGGCCTGAGTGCCCGAGCTCTGGCAGTGGGGAACACTGAGTACACATACAGGAGATATTCTGAATTCAAGGCTTTTTTTCGTGACACATCAGAACTTTTTTTTTTTGGGAGTGGGGAGAATAGAACAATATTTATAAAACAAATATACTTGTTATTGGAAAAATTAATTATGAAGCATTTTATATAATTAGGCTAGCATCCCCCTGAATGGCTAGAAAAGTTTTTACCTCTGAAAGTTGAAACATGTAGCTTAAATAAAACTTGACATCAAAAAAAAAAAAAAAATTAATTATGATTAGATTCATTTATTAATATATAGTTAGGAATCAGGCATTTACAAGGACATCAAGTGTATACCTGCAAACACACAGACACAGCGCATGGAGGTACAAACACATTGAATTATTTTCACATAATTCCCAAAAGAAACATGCATTGCTAAACTGACTTGATATTATACAGATGCAATTTTGGAATATTCATTTTTAGTTTTCCAAAAATTTTTTCTAAATCCAAATCATATTTCCAAGATCAGTATGGATGCGCATTTTCAAATGATGGCCCTGACATGACAATTTGCCCTTTACAAACTAAATATACTGTATTTCCCCTTCAGCTCTGAAAGCTCCTAAAATTTTATTTGGAGGCTGAGAAAATTTAAAATATGTATTTCTCCATATTCCAAGCAATGCATCTTTATATTTTTGCAAAGAACAGTATAAAGTTCACCACACCAACAGCAGAGAAAATTTAGAGAGTAATATTTTCTTTCTTTTTCTTTATAATGCTGTTAATCTTTTTCTTTAAAGCCAGCCCACTTGTTTAGCACTAGGTACCTGTTACAACATATTAGATTCGTCTGAGAATGTTCGTAAAAGAAGAGGTCTGACTGAAGGTCTGGCGGATAATGAGTCAGATGCCCTTCTACAGCTCAGATTTCTCTGTAATAGTGAGGTAAAGATACTTAAAGCATTTGAAGATTGGTTATCCTACCTGCTGATAAAAATGTACTGGAAAAAAATCATTTCCTACAGACTCTACTCTTCTGGCCAAAAGTACAAATGATTACACTACAGCAAACGCAGAACATTCAAATGAATACATTTAAAGGCCTACAAAAGTCTTCAACTCAAATCAGAATGTTTTCATGGTGGAAGTATACAGACATTAGAAGTATGTGGCAAACTTCAATTTTTGAAATGGCACTGGTAGGTTATGTGGTAAGATGAGTCAGTATGGTTTGATCAGGAAACCTTACCATCCTTTTGGTGAACACCTCTGAGAGTTGTGCTGGTGCTGTGAATGTACTGGACGAAGAGAAATTTGTGCCAAACATTCTGTCTGGGTGAACAGACCAGCCCCACACACCATGGCTACTACTACATACCATGGATCAAGGGGCTACAGGCTTATAGTCCAAGCTTCCGAAAATGACTTCCTCTCCAGTGCGACCATTGGAGAAAGTGAATAAATGGTTAAAGGAAAATGACAAAATACTCTAAGTATCAATAGAAAATATAAAAACGAGTCATGGAAAGTAATATTTCATAAAAAATTAGAAAATGGTGTCAAGCAAATGAGAATGCAAGCAAGTTGGTACGTTAAGAAAGAAAATCACCTTATTCACTCCAAGAGAAACTGTGATTGCTGGAAGTTTGAGAAAGCATGAAGATAGTAGATGTTCCTGAGGAAGGGAGGCGTTTCATTACCTTGTTCACAATTGCACAAAAGGTAGAAAATTGCAGTAGAAAAAAGAGAAATGCAGAAACCAAAAGGGAAAAAAAAAAAAAGTAAATATACTCCCAAATGTAAGACATTTGAAAAGAAAGCTTGAGAATTCGAAGTAGAAATGACAGGTTAGTTTTGAAGACATTACTCTCTGAAGTAAAAGCAGAGTTAGTTAGGAATACTATATTATATGTGCCAACTACTATTTCTATGTATATCAATTTAAAATTATTTTGTTAATGGGAAAATTGACTACTTCTGAATTAAAATAAATTTTAAATGTTTCTCATTAATATAAAACTTATCTGCAATCATTAATTCACTAACCTATATTTGTTCAAAACCCACCGGTCCAGAGCTTATCACCAATCCATCTTGAAGTAACTATCTGCCCATTCAACTGCACAGATACAATATGAAGGGACTGACTGCGTTTGGACAGCTGCAGGTTAGAAACCTAATCAAAGCTAACATAATGGAAACACATTGGTGAAGTCACACTTAAGTCCCATTTACCTCTGGACCAATGCTTAACTTTCTTCTAACACAATTTGATTGGCCTCCTTAAGTTCTTCCTTCAGAGACTACTTCAAAAGGAGCAGATTAAAGAGCTGCTAATTTCTTTTAAAATACCTAGACAAAGTTATAACTTAATGTTTAATTATAAAACCTAGAAGGCTATTTTTTTCCTTCTTCTCCTGTACTTAAAATTATAAGCTATTTCACAGACTTGGTTTTGGCATTGCCCAAGCAAAACAGAAGATAAGGTCAATTATGAGGATGAGTTTTAAAACTCTGCTAAATCAAGATTGCCCATATTTATTTACTTAGTGACAAAGGAAAACAAACTTAAAAAACAAAAACAAGCTAAAGTAACCCATGTACCCAGCAGTCTAGTAAACACTTATACTTTTAAAGGCAAATACTTTGATTTATTCATGCATGTTGTGACATAACTACATTCCTGTTTCTAGTTCATATTTTACCTTAAATTAGGAAGAAAGCTGGTAACATGGTGGCAACATGCAAACTACTGATTAATAAAGCAGGAGAAATATTTAGTTTCTGAGAAATTTTTTTTAAAAAATCGCTTCTATCTTCTATTTTGTGGGCAAAAACCTTGTAACAAGATTAATATGATACCAAGTCTTCCACTCCCGTGTTTAGTGTACAAGTCTATCTATTTAAGACTGCAACTGTAAGCACATTTTGGTGTGCTCAAAAAATTGTAGCCAACCTTCAGAGATAAAAGTATTTCTGTGAAGCAGAAATTTTCTGGGTTAATAAAATAGGTGTTAAGAGTACTTCACAAAGGAAATATGAAAGTACAGAAGGCAGCAGAAAGCATGAAAAGAGGATCTAAAGCAATTAAAAATGGACAATAGTAACAACTGGTAGGGGCAGTGGGAAGAAGGGGAGATGATGAGCGACAACAGACACCTAGATCTTTGACACCGGCCCAATTAGCAGCATGTCAAAGAGGCCAATGGATAAAGGCCCATCTCAACAGGCACACCATGACAATTTAACTTTATTTTTTCCCAATCAACTTCACAGGGCTACCACCCTTAGAACCCATGACTGTTTATGCCACTGTGAGAATCCCAATAGTAATCATCAGTATCACCATTATTATTACAATGATGAACTGTATTTTCCAAAACTTTCAAAGTGTTTTCTCTGGGAATTTTGCTCAGGTGGTTGACATTCTTCCTTTCTCCGTTTTCCACACTAAAAGAGCTCCCTACACAATGGCAGGTTTCTTCCTGTTTGTGCAGATGTCCCAGGCTAGGCACAACAATGTTGCTGAGCCCATTCCCGTTATAGTGTCCTCATGTCTAGCAGGCAAAGCCAGGCCTCTCTTTTACTGTGATAGCTGACAGGAGATAACTACATAAGGATATGGGGAAAATGCCTCCACTGGAAATGTGAAGTCCAGGTGTATTGTGCTTAGAGGGGATATGGCTTTTTGAAATACCCAAATCCTAAACTTTAAATTTCCTTTGAAGTACTGTGTGGTTCAGTGTGCAGTGCTCAGTGGTAGCTGCATCATACACTGTCAGCAGCATGGCTATGCAGCTTTGTCACTTTATAAGCTAAAGAAAAGCTCTATGGTCCTAAATGACGGGACTTAGCACAAAAATTAACTTCATGGCTGAAAATATAGCTGAGGAACACGTGGCTTAACTACAAGGCTTGAGTTAAGTGAGTGAGGGAACCTATTTTCGAAGCTAGCTGAATTCCTTATAATGCTAGTGTCATGACAGAACTCAGCTGTGGTGGAGGCCACCATACCAGCCTTTTCACTGGACACTTCAGGGGGTAGTGACTTAGAAATAGCTCAACTGTGTTATAACAAGTCATGTATCACTGATTCTACTGTTTGGCTTTATACCTGCTTACAGAAAAGTGTTCCATATGAATTACCTTTCTAACTTACCCTAAACTCCTTGTGAGCAAGGGCCACATCTGATTCATCCCTGAATTACTAGCACCTAGTACAATAGCTCTGGAGTCCCTGGGTAGTGCAAACAGTTAACATGCTTGGCTGCTGACTGAAAGGTTGAAGGTTGGAGTCTACCCAGAAGCACCTGAGGAGAAAGGCCTGGAGATCTACTTCCAAAAAAATCAGCCATTGAAAGTCCTATGGAACAGTTTTACTCTGACATACATGGGGTCGCCCTGAGTTGGAATTAACTCAGTGGCAACTGGTTTAGTACAGAAGTTAACTCATAGTAGGCCCTCAGACAATGAGTGCTCAATTGAATGGAAATCCCAGGACTGCTTCTATAATCGTTAAGTGCAATAACTTAATTCCCTTCTCAAAGCAGCTGCCAAGGTCCATGTAGGACCAACACTGGCAGCCAATCTGCCACTGGCATTATGGCTATGTGTACAAAGGGTCCAAGAAGCTTACTGGTTAAAGTCAGGGGGATCTTCCACCTCTAGGGAGGGACTCACACTTTAGCCCACTAGGGAGCCTGTCAAGCATGAGGCAGGTCCAGTGTAAAAGTATCTTTTGCTTCTAAAATGAGACCAATGCCTTAGCAAAGGGATACTGAACAAAGTAGGAAGTCACCCCGGATTGTCAGACTGCTAGTCACTAAGCATCAAGGCTAATATATTTTGGGAAAGTAAGATACACTTTCTCCTTTTTTGAGGGGTGGCCTCTGCCTCTTTGATACAGCCAAATAAGGCCTTGTATAAACAGATGTAACTTAACAGAATGGCCATGGCTGCCGTGTTTCAGCTGGCCTTTATGCATTCATATGCACTACATTGCTCTTGCATTTTCTCACCAAAAAAAAAAAAAAAAAGAGGAAGAGGCAGCGCTGCTGAGTGCCTGCAATGTTCTCTCTCATCTCTAACTCTCAGAATCGCACAGTCTGAGAAACCATTTGGCCTTTCAGACACTGGATGTAAAGAGAGATGTTCATCAGTAGGTGGTTCAGTAAATGTTTATTGGTTCAATGAGGGTACAAATAAATGAATGAATGATTTAATGAATGAAGGTAATCATGGAAATTCTCCCGGTTGTTCTAGCACATCAACATGCCAAGCTACAGCACAGACACTAATATTCCTACTACCATGGACAAAACCCATGGCAAACAAATTTCATGCTGCAACTCTGGCAAAATTCTATGCTGCTAAGTAAAATGGGCTGCAGTTCTAAAACTCCATGCTTTCAAAAGAAGTTCAGGACCTGCTGTTTGCATTGAGGCAAAAAAAAAAAAAAAGTTCTAAGGTTTTATCTGTGACTGCCCTGTAGCATCCTTCCCTTTAAGCCTATATAAAAGTCACCTCCAGCCAGTGTCTACATTTTTAAAAAAGGTTGTGTTTGAAGGTTCTGATTTCTCAGATTTTGGTATCATCTTTAGAGCATGAAGCTGGTGTGACCCACCATAGCATGAGCTCCATTGCCCCAAATAAGAAAAACATTTAGGAGAAACCCAAGGTGCACTCCCGAATAAGAATGGAAGAGAAACTAGGAGATCCTCCCCAGACTGATTACCTATTATACAAAAGCACCAAATAATTTCTTCCTGTGACATTTTTTATTTGGCTTCATTCAAATTGCTACTTGAGTCATTCTGAAAGGAATCTGTCATATCAACCTGCTTTTCCTCTGTTCAACTGTTAATAAGGTATAATTAGGCAATTAAATGCCTCTTTTCCACTCTAAGACCAAACACCAGGCTGGAGGGAGTTAATGCAAGGTCTACTGGAAGGATTCAGGCAAACACTAAGGCAGTCTCAGCTAGGCTAACACTATTTTGTGGTGCCAATCCAGAAGGCATGCAGAAGCAGGGAGTTCAGGACAATTCTGACCACCTAACTATATATGGATTGGCCAAGAATCTATGTAGCTTATGCTGCTGAAGCTCTATTGTTATTGACTGGGACTGACACTAACTTGTAATGTGAAGATCTTTACACATCTAATCACTGAAGATTTTCCCACTATAATCATTTCAGATTCTCATGTCTGCATGATGTCAATCACTGGATTCCATCAATACAAAAGCGGGGGGACCCCCAAACAAACAAACAAGCAAATAAAACACCACCAACAAAATCAGACGACCCAGTCTGGTGACTTAAACTGGTTCATGAATTTGATCAAACAGGTAAGGTAAACAGAGCTTACACTATATCCTGAAAATATTGTCTTGGAGGGGATACAGGACCTAGTTGGTGTGAATATGACAGAAATAGGGTTTTATTTGGCAAAATGAGCTACTGTGGGTAGGAATATATTTAATTAACCTGTTGGTCAAAATCTGCCAGAAGTTTTATTTTCCAGGTTAATCTACCCCTTTCACTTCAAAGGCTTTTTAGATATGTTAAAAAAAAATCAGATAACACAGGGCCAAGTGATTGGGCTAAGGGAGGATAATAACTTCTCATACTCACAAGAAATTTACAACTTAAGCAGCAAAAAAAAATCACACACATAAAACAATCTTGAATTTTTTTTTAAAAGTGTGTTCAAGAGGGTAAGGATGTAGAAATCACATCCAGGGAATTCTCTTTGGTTCAAATATACTGCTGGACAGACAGGGCTAGAAGCAATACAGAGATTAAGCAGCACTATAATTAGAGGAAGGGGAAAGGTTTGAAAGAGGCAAATTAGGATTATCAACTGAAAAAAAAAAAATCTGCAAACAACCACAAGGAAATTTCTAAGGTTAAAGCTGAAATGTTGGTGTGGAAATCCCTGGTGTGAAAAATTCTAGGTTAAATTCAAAATAAAATCATTTTGTTTTTTCCTTTTAAATTTCCATATGGAGCATATTTGGGATACTCCATATGGATTGCTAAAGATCACACAGAACACTGTTAAGGAATCTACTTACCACCTGCATTGGATAACGAAGTTTTTACTATACTTTTTATGCAGAAGAGGAAATTAAGTGGTGAACCTGTAAGGAGGGGTTTAATATTCTGTAACTGATACAGTTCTCTAAATAAGGTTTTTAGTTCACGGCAGATATTGAAGCCCCTTCAAAATATCATGTTAGAGTATAAACTTAGTTCTTACCCTGGCACTTCTTCTTCTTACAGTCTTTAATACTATCAGGAGAATCTCAGGGAAAAGGCTGATAAATATTAGAAAAACTATGGCCAACCACGTGGATACAGAAGACAGCATTTGCGCAAATACGAAATACATTCTCTGCTGCTTGAGAAAAGGCCTGGAGTGGAAAGAAAATACATAACAGAAAACAAATCAGTTTCTATCATATGAAATAGAAATGTAATTGAAACTGTCTTTTGTATTTAAAAGGAATTTTCATTATGCACGTTAATAAAAATAATTTTCTCTAGAATGTCCCAAATGTAGTAAACAAATTTCATTTACCAAATGTTTGGAAAGAAAAAGAATGATAATCAAAGGGAAAAAGAAAGATAATAAAATGCATTTGACTTGAAAACAACCAAGCAATCAACTCTAAAGCTGCCAACTGCAGAATATTTATTTGCATTAGAAAATGCTGGAGTTCCAAAGATAGTCAAGAGAAACGATGCTTAATTTCTATGCTAACAAGCATTTTACTTTCCCAGTTGTTTTATTAATATGAGGATGGTTTTGTGCTCTACATTCAGAAATTTAAAAGACATTTTTATAATCCTCCCCCCCAAAACTATGATAATATCAAAGTAACTGTAGAGCTTATCATCTTGTCAAATGGTAAGAATCTAGCATTTTCATCCACAAATATATATTGAGTTCTAGCATGGGCCAAGTAGGTTGACAGAAAAGCAGAATATTGCTAATAGGACATTAAGCCCTGGAACCCCCAAATCGAGGAGGACCCCTCCTTCGGAAGTCAGATTTCATTCCAAGTCATCCACTAAACTTGTGGGTACAACCATTGAGAAGTACCACCAGTTTCCCGGCAGAAAGCCTCCCTGGCTAACTTAACTGCTCTTCTGAGCTGATGGGGAAGAAGTGGAAAGTGGCTGCTAGAGGTCCAGATGCACATCAGATCCTAGGATTAGGAGCCTTAGGTAGATAACGGATGGGTCCCGTTTATTACATCATGCAGTATTCACTGAAGATAAAGTGCTTCTCATTTAAAAATTAATGTTTGCACATCCTTCGGTAACACAAAATCAAGCTTGTGGCTCTGCATCTATGAGGACTAGGCAGTGGAACAGAAGTGGGCAGGACAGAGAGGTGGACAAACTTATGTGGCCTGGGCTAAATAGGCTTTCGAAGGTTCCATACAAGAAAGAGTTCTGCCAAGTTCTAGCCCCAGACTAGCTCTGAAGAGCACCCTAATTTTCTAGGCAGTTGACTGAGCCATAAAAAGGATCCGGCAGAAAACTGACGGCTAGTCACAGGTCTTCCTTCACGTGGTACCCACAATACTCTTTGATTAGTGTCTCTCTCTCTCTAATTATTATTTTTGCCTGAATGACATCTATGGAACACTGCAGGGGAGCAGTAAAAAACAAAAGATATTATTCCTGGATTGAGTTTTGTACTCAGAAATCATCATTCTCACCGCCTGCCCTGAAAGAGGGGTGTGTTCCAATGCCTTAGGGTAGAACATGCCCAGAAACATTAACGGAAACCAGCATTCAGCTGAAGTTTCGAAGTTTCTAGTCACATTTTGCTGGTTGCTTTGTAATATCAAGTTTATATTCATGTAGTAGCTCAACTCAGACAGCTCTACTCAAGGACAGACGTGAAGGCAACACAATTTTAAAAATAGATTTAGTAATATTTTATTTTTAGTAAGTATTCTAATGAATAAAAACAAACAAGGCCCTATTAAGGCAATGTCTTAATCATGTGAAGGATTTGTTTTAATCAATAAGGAATAGTCTGTAGAAAGAGCTAGGGATTTCTTTCAGTTTCCTAGAAACAATTTTATTCCTGTGGAAATTCTGCCTAATTAGTTCAGATGCTGATTACATGGATTCACAGATAGAAATTTATGGTACTCTGGGCAGACCTACAATTGTATATTACAGTTAGTTAATCAACTTTAATTCATTTGTATATTATTAAAATAGGAATTTCCTTCAGCTTCTTTGCTCTCAATCATTACCTATATAGGTGCCAAATATATGCTTTAATTACACTTTTCAGAGCTGATATATCTTTAAGTGATTAGGTAATTCATATTTTTATTTAAGACTTTTTGTAAAACAAAACCTTTTCAAAATAGTAGGAGTTTCTTCTAATTAAGTCTCAAGGGACATAAAAATGGTCCTCCATACCTCACATCTCTGTGATAAAATAAAATGTTTTGTATTAATCATTTTGCTCAAACCAGAGAAAGTATGTTCTCCTGGATTCTCACCCTATGGCCTGCTCTAGCCATGCTTCTTGCTGCTGGTATCCTTTTCAAGGGAAGCCAGTGATTAAACAACTTCAACATTTAGAAAAAAATGTAGACCTCTGGGGATAGGGAGAGGAGATGCAACTCTTATTTTCATTCTTTAAAACTTCCACAATCACAGTTTGTGTCCCTCACTAGACTGTAATCTCCCTGAGGGCAGAGGTTCTGTCTAATTCATCTCTGTATTCCTGTGGAGTATTTGAAATAGATTTCAGAATCTACATCTACTGAACCAAGAGGAACTGAATAAACTTTAAGACCAAGCTACATGCAGAGTCTACTTTACCCTGAAAAACAGTAAGAGGTGTTTCAAGGTATAACTCTCTGGGTATTAAGTGGTGCATATCCTATACCCTGAGAACACCTATTGTGGCATATATGACAATTACATAGTATGAAGAGAGAATAGGGTCTGAATGGATAATTATCTATTGGTCAATTATCATGTAGAAACTTCACAGGATGAGTATTTCCAGTGGAAATCACACGTGGTGTCGTGCTGGAAATTACAGCTTCAATTCACAGATGTTTACACACCTTCAAGTTGAAAGATACAGGCAGGGGCTACCAGAAAGGAGCCCTTTTGAGTAACTCCTGTAGTCTATGTACTTGTATTTGAAAACTTACTTAAAATGAGCAGTGCTACTGGCTAGAAATAACTCCAGTCCATTAATATTGAAGAACTGTTATATAATCAAAACTTTGAAAGTATAATCAATGTTTACAAATCAATGTACATAAACATATATCTATTTTGTATTTGCATATTACACATGCACAGCTGCTTACCAAATGATTCCTCCCCAGAAGAATGAGAAAAATACATAAAATGCTTACCAAATGATTCCTCCCCAGAAGAATGAGAAAAATACATAAAAGGCTAAGGAACCCCAAATCACAAAGTGATTTATCCATGTCCAGAATCGAGTATCCAAGGCGAGCTGCAAAGATACAACACAAGAGCTTTCATGATGGGTACAAATTGCACCAGGCCATACGTTACGCAGCAGGATACCTATGGGAGGTGCGAGCTTGGGCCATGAATTCAGAGGGGAATGGAACTAGGAGTGGAACAGAATCTAGACCTTCCAGAGAGCTAGAGTGAGAAAGAAGGTCCCTGGGTGGTGCAGATAGTTAAGCATTAGACTACTAGTGGAAAGGTTGGTGGTTTGAACTCACCCAGTGGCACCATGGAAGACAGACTTATGGAGCAGTTCTATGCTGTACGCATAGGGTTGCCATGAGTAGGAATAAGCTAGACTGCAGTTAACAACAACAGGGTGAGAAAGAGCCTAGCTGTGCCCTAAGGCCTCTAGACTCTAAAGTACAGGAATGGAGGTGTGGTCAAGCCAAGTGGCTAGTAGGGGTGGAGCTGCTGGTGCCTCACTACTTGAGGAAAGGGCAAGGAATGAGGTCATGGTAACATCCAAGAAGCTGGAGACCTTAGAAGGAGCCCTGGTGGCACAGTGGTTAAAGCGCTCGGCTGCCAACTGAAAGGTCAGCAGTTCAAATTCCACCGGCTCTGTGGGAGAAAGATGTGGCCGTCTGCTTCCATAAAGATTTACAGTCTTGGAAACCTATGGGGCAGTTCTACTCTGTCCTATAAGGTTGCTGTGAGTCGGAATTGACTCGACGGCAGTGGGTTTTGGGTTGGAGTCCTCAGGTAGTGGCAGCTGAGGAGATGATGGCAAAAGGAGAAAGCCTAGCTGGCAGAGGCAGGCATACTGAACAGCAGTAGAACCGAGGAAAGGGATAGCTAGGAAGAACAGAATAACTATATAAAGGAGTCATAAACAGTTCAAACGCAACAGGTGAGGGTCCTGTAGCAACGGATCATGGGCTGATTATATAGTGTGCCTTTCCAGCTGCAAAACCGTTATCTAGTCCATAAAATTAATAAAATTTTCAGTTGCCTCAGATTTTAATCTTTTTAGGTTTTTGTCAAGACTGGTCGTTTTTTTTTTTTCAGATTGTAGGACCTGGGGTTTTTGTATGTGATCTAAAAACAAAACTACGGTCTGCTATGCTTGCTTAAAACTTCTGGGTCACAGGGGCATTTAATCCAGAGCATTTAATTTTTGGTGGGGCGGGATAGGGGGTGGTGTCTCAGTTTTGTTACTTGCTGTGACAGCATGGTCCTCAGCTCTGTTAGTTTCTCCATTCATAAACAGGATTGCCGATAACACTGTTAATGCAGCCCAGCCTTGAATTCCCACTGGGTTGCTAGGGAAAATGTCATAATAATACCCATCCAAAAAGAAAGGGAGTGGATGTCCTTTGAGGTACATCTGAAAGCTGCTGTAGTAAGGCCACTTGTAGCTCTGGGACCATATACGAGGATGGGGGTGGGGGGGAGTAGAGAGGGAACAGGAAGGGATTCCATCTCAAATCATTACAATCCCGTGAAACGTAATAAATAATAAGCAGCATTTACTGTAATGGGCATGGTCTCTATGTCAGACACCCTTCTAAGTGCTTTATATGTATTCACTACTTGACTCCCCACAAAAATCCTAAGAGGTAGGTGCTACTTTTATCTCCATTTTATAGAAAAGCAGGCACAGAGAAGTGAAGTAACTTGTCCAAAGACACAGAGCTAGTAAGTGGCTAAACTGAGATGAATTGTAGCATGTTCTTTTAAAGTCTTAAAATATTATTGAAAGAGTAGATGGATAATACAAACACATGTTAGTTCTATTCGGTATAAGAAGTAAACCAGGAACAAAAAGTTGGGGGGAAAATGATCAGAGGTCATTGTCAACTATATTTCTGAATTCTGGTTTTGACCACTGGACAGGCTGGGAGTCATTTAAAGGTACTCATTCTTGGATCCCAGTGAAGTGTTTCTTACTGGAATGATCAAAAGAACCTGATTATGCTTTCAACTATAACAGGGTCCTGACACATGGGCATCCAGGATAGCATTTGGCAAGACTTCAGAGCATTGTTACATGACTGCATGTTAATACCAATGGATTTTGCCAATATTATCCTTTTTGTATGTTGTTGTTAGGTGTTCTTGACTCACTTCCAACTCATAGAGACCCCAAGTGACAGAGTAGAACTGTCCCATAGGGTTTTCTTGGCTGTAATCTTTCTGGAAGCAAATCCCCAGGTCTTTCTCCCACGAAGCCACTAGGTGGGTTCAAACTACCAACCTTTCAGTTAGCACTTAACCACTGTGCCACCAGGGTTCCTTTCTTATATGTTATCCGCTGTATATCTTTATGCATTTCATCACTAAGATGGGTAAATTTCAGTGATAAATACATTTTATAAAATTTCTTCCCTACCAAGCTCTTTTGTATACACGTTTTGTTTGTGGACACCTATTCAACTGTCTTAAGAACCCAAATTCTTTATAGGCCTGAGGTTCTTAAACAAGTAAGAAATCTGAAAAAGTTTCAAATACTTCACAGGGAAACACACACTCACAGCCTGTTTATATACTACTTAGCATAATGCCTTGAAAATAGCAGGAAAGAGGAATAGATTTCCAACATAAGTATAGTGTTCTAATTTTTTTAAGTAAAACACAATAGAGGATAGACAGCGATTGAAATAAAAAGGATCAAAAATAATATACAAATGCCCAAATCCCTAGAATCATAGCTATTTTAGTAAGCCTTCAGACAAAGGTTTGAATAACAACCTGCAATAAAAATAAAGATCAGGCGATAAAAGAGGTACATTCAGATAAAACCAGACAATATTACAAAAATGGTGTTAAATATATTTGAATAAATAAAAATCTAACCTTCAGAGTTACAGTGAATACTAAGACCGTAAAAACAATGGTTCCGAAAGTCCAGTTTCCATACACCTGAAAGACATTTAACAATTACATGTACCACAAATACATAAGCCTCCATGAAAAATAAAAGGCCAATTTTAATCCTGCCTGTAACTGCCAAGATTTTGCATGAATTGCTTAGGGAAGTATCTGGTCAATAAGATCAGGCCACAGTGCTGGATTTTACTGTGACTGTAAATTTTCATGGACAGACACACCTCATCTGTGGTTCGTAGGGTTTACTTCCATTACTCCATGCAGCATCAAACAGGGAACTCATTGGTGTGACAAAGGCAGGAAAAAATTAGTCTACTAACAGTGCTGTTCACCAAGATAAGCCATTTTTTTCATGTCTCTACAAAGACTTCGATATGGGCTTTTCCTATAATATAGAACTAAAACTCTCAAATATGGAAAAATTTGCAGACAAGTGGACTCACAGCTTTTTAACTACAGTCTAATTTTTCAGCTGTAACTATTTGAGCTGTCAGCATGTGCACGTCAAAGAAAAGCAAATCCAGGTATAAATGCAAGCGATGGCAATGAGTGGCACATATGCTTACCAAACGCTGTCAAGATCTGAATGCATAACATTAAAACAGAAAGTGAAATGTAAAAGGTTTTTTAAAAAATGAAAATAAAAAATTAAGGTTAACAGAAGCAAAAAAAAAAAAAGATTCAATCAAATTATACATGGGTGTTATGCTTAATTGCTGGTAGCGGTTCTTACACTTACTGTCATTTTAACAAACATTTACAAGGATGGTGACATATATAGTAAAACCTTATTAATTTGGACTTCATGAACTCAAAATGAGTGATGAATAGAACAGAGGCTGGGCTGAAGCTCCCCCATGCACCACCTAAAGAGTTTGCTGAGCAAATAAATCATGTCAACAGGACTGCAGAGAGTATCTGCCTACTTGGGAGCAAACTTTTTCCAAGCAGTAGCCAGCTCTATACAGTTTCTAAATAAAAAAGTAGAAGTCACAAGATCAGTCATAAAGCCTGAGAAATCATAGCATCTCATCCCTTCTTAGGAATGGGCAAAGTTGACTTGGAAAACGGAAGTGACTTGTCAAAGGACACACAGACTGCCACATGTAACTACCATAAAGTACTCAATTTGTATTTCTTTAGAAATTACTTCGTGATTAATAATTTTAATGGATTGTTAGTAAACTGATTTCTGTTTTGTCCAAATTAGAGAGGTTTTGACTGTAGTTCCCAATTTCAAAGTATCCTTCAAATTCACTTCTATAAGAGGTGTTAATTGTCTAGGTTCTATACATAGTCATTGTACTCAGTAAATTCTTTTTGAACATTAGCTTTGCTTCACACTATGATTATAAAGAATGAATGACCATAAAGAGGAACCCCAGAAATCGCGAAGGAGAACACAGTGAAGCAACATGCAAGGCAGTGTTTGCTTTCCTGGCATGTGGCTGGAGGAAGAGGCCTCACCTGTCCCACATTAGCAACTCTGAGTACCGAAAAACACCAAACCCGTTGCTGTCGAGTCGATTCGGACTCATAGCAACCTTACAGGACAGAGTGGAACTGTCTTGTAGGGTTTCCAAGGCTGTAAATCTTTACTGAAGCAGACTGCCACATCTTTCTCTTGCGGAGCGGCTGGTGGGTTCAAACCACTGACCTTTCGGTTAGTAATCGAGCACTTTAACCACTGTGCCACCAGGGCTCCTTTCTCAAAGTACAGCAAGGGCAAAATCATCCCAGTTCAGGTGCAGACTGATGTGGCTGCTTGCTGGGAAGGCAGTGGCACAACCAGTGCAGGCTTTCTCAATAGCACTATGCTCCCATTTGGAAGGGAAGGAGGGAGGGAATTCCTTCTCTCCATCTATTAGGTGAATACTCCAAAAATATGGCAGCTACCACCTTCAACTCAGAGCATGGAAGATTACAATGAATTAGACCTGAGTGGGGCCAGACTTTGATGTGAGAAAGGCTTTTCCTATTTTAAAGCAAAAAATGCAGGGGTCCAAAGTCTGAAATCCCAAAAACTCTGTTCATCTAGTAAAAACTACAGCCGAGTTAAGCTTCCAAAGGTTTGTATATATGCACTCTAGTTAGCCATGCACATAGGAAGTTATTTCTTACTTCAACATTTCTATTGTTCGAAAGAAGTTATGAAAACTAAACACCGTATCTTAAGAAAAACAGTTTGCAAAATGATTACTGCTACAGTATATGTATGATAGATTCAGTGCCTATAGAAAAAAGAAAAGTCCTGCTTATAATACTGAAAGATGTAATGACATGTTATTTTTACCGTTCCATTGTCTTCTAGGGATGAAGTCTGAAAAAGAAAATAAGTCCCAAAGAAGAACACAGTCCCTTCAAAGGCGGCCAGAAATGTCCAATATAAGAAGGGGCCCAACTGCAGCATGGCATTGCCAGAAATATTCCTATTGAGAAATGAGGAATAAAAATGACACAGGTTACTGAATCTCTCTGCAGGCAATACCAAAGGTGAAATGCCAAAGTTGAGCATGTGGGCTGACCCTGTTATAATGAAGAGGGCTGAGCCACAGATTTAACTTCATGAAATCACCTCTGACTAATGCATTGGAGTAAGTAACCTGTCAAAAAGCTGCTAAGTTAAAATTCTGGCCACTGACAATAACAAACATCATTAATAATAAAAGATTCCATTTATTGAGTACTTTCTATAAGCCAGGGCTCAAGCACAGCAACGATTGTGAAGACGGTGCAGGACCGGGCAGTGTTTCCTTCTGTTGTACATAGGGTCGCTATGAATTGGAACTGACTCGACGGCATCTAACAACAACATATACCAGGAACTGGGTTAAGAGTTGTGTATGCATTATCTATTTTCATCCACACAAAAACTACATGAGATAGGTATTACTATCACTCCCGCTTCCAAATAATAAGGAGACTCAAAATTAGAAGATACTTCAAAAAGCGTATCAACCAATTGCAATATACAGACCTGATTTGGATCCTGATTCAAACAAACATGGCGTTACTAAAAAAAATGTCATTTGGGAAAATTTAAATATTGACTAGATGTTTGATGATATTAAGGACTTGTTAAGTTTTTAGGTGTGATAGGGTATTGTTATTTTTTTAAGTCCTTATCTTTAAGAGATACATACAGAAATAACTATTTTATGTAATGTTTGAGATTTGTTTCAACATAAGCCGGTGATAGAGCAGATGGGGTTATTAATGAAACAAGGATTGGCCATGAATAGATAATTGTTGAACTGGAGTGGTGAGTATTGGGGTGTTCATTACAATTAATAGTATTCTCCCTGCTTTTGTATGTTTGAACCTTTCCATATAAAAGCTTAAAATTATGATAAATTTTACAAATCTCTATAATTCTAACAGTTATCAAATGTAAGTTTTATGAGTTATATGGGTTAAAAAAAGTCTCTTAAATTTGTGCACCTTCATTCAGACAAACAAATCGCCTAGCCTCTCAACTGCTCTTGCTATCCACTATTTAGCAGTGTTTATAATCTGCTGTAGATTAACATCCTTATCCTTAGCTTTAGGTTTAATATATAAAAAATCAAATTAACTCGTAGGTTAGCAACTGGGACTACTGCAAGTTCCCCATCCATAAAGAAAAGCATCCATTTCCAACAGACATCAAATAAATACAACGTGCCTTTCTTTGCCTGGATAAGTTAATTATTCTCTTCAACAAACCTATTTTAGAATGGGGCTAACAAAGAGGGACTCTGCTTCAGGAGCAGTTTACAAAAAGAAAGGGTGGCAACACCTTATCAATTCTATTCATTACACGTTAGGATCCATATTCTCAACTACCAAAGAGTTTTGTTTTTTTGCAGTTAAAACACTGTGTCTTCCTGCAAGACCATCAGAACAGTATAACAATGTAGTTTCATGTTCTAGAATTAGTGATTCTGAACTAAATGTTTCACATGTATTCAAGTACAGAACCTACACCTAGGACTGTGTATCATTTCCCTGCTGAATGCTCTGGTTTTGGAAGCTAAAAATTAGGAACAGAAATGCATAATCAATCCAGGTAGGCGGTTCTGTGTCTTTCCTACCTTCAGAAGAAATGAAATGTTCATCTTTGAAAGTTGGAGGGGGTTTTCATTCTATTTTCTACTTACATATACAATCGGGGGTCTGAGGTCAGAGTGTCAATGTTGATGTGCTGTTCCAGTAGACTGTAGGCCAGGATGGGCAAGGAGGTGAAGCAGATATTGTACATTGTAAGGTAAGCAGCGTCATATAGTGGCTGAGATGACAAACAACAGAGGAAAGAAAGAAATGTACTGTAACAATCACCTGCAAGAGGACATTTCTGTGCATGGAAAATCACAGCTAAAACAAGAAGAAACTAACACAGTGTGATGCATCATATTAACATACCCTCCTTTCTAATGAGATCTTATTCAGAACGTTTACACGTTATAAGCTCTATTTCTAATAAATATTAACAACAACTTCAAAAGATTTGTCAGTAAAAGGAGACCAAATAAGTCAGGAACCCTTCAGAGAAACTAAATATAGGCAGTAGCCAGCCTCTGTCACAAATTTTTTGTTAATATTTGAGATGCTTTCAAATATCACTGTCACCTTCCCAAGGCTACATTTATGATTCTGAATGCAGTCATTTACTAACGATTAATCAAATGTATTCATAAAACCAAGTTAAATGTCTCTACATGGACCTGACTTTCAACTTTCCCTGGTCCCGAGAATTCCCAGGGCTCCAGACCAAAATGTCCACCTTCATGCTAGCTGTCCCACGGGCACCTCCAACTCAATATGTCCCAAATCAAACTCATTAACTTTTCTCCTAAATCTACTTTATCCTCTGTTCCTTGTCTCAGAGGGTGGCACTCCAATTTCTGTGACCTGAACACCTACACTGGTGCCTGGTAAAACTTAGGGCTCAAGAAATATTTTGAAATGAACTATTCTCCTGGTTTTCCTCCTGCCTCACTGGCCATTCCTTCTCAGTCTCCTCTTCTCCCCGACCTCTCTGCTGGGGGGCTCCAGGGCTCAGTGTTTGGAACTATACTCGCTATCTAGGTGCTCTCATCCAGTCCTATGGTTTTAATATCACCCATTCACTGACAATTCCTAAATATCTATTATCAGCCCAGACCCATCCTGAACTCATAAACCCATATATCCAACTGCCCACTTGACATCTACTCTTGAGTCTCTAATAGTTCAAACTCAACATATCCAAAATCAAACTCTAGGCCTGCCCCCACTCCAAACTTGCGCTTCTTGAAGTCTTCCCCATCTCAGGAAATGACAACTAAATCCTTCTGCTTACTTAGGACCAAAATCTTGGAATCATCCTTGACTCCTCTCTTTTTCACACCCCACATCTAATCTATGACGAAGTCTTTATTGACTCAAAAATCTTCAGAACCAGCTCCCTTCTCAGCACCTCCACTGTTACCACCCTGCAAGCCTCCTCCTCAATGATGGGAGCAGGTCTCCCTGCTTCCACCCTTGTCCATTCACAACACAATGGTCCAAGTAGTCCTATTAAAATATGTCAAACTGTCATTGCTCTGTTCAAACTCTCCAATGGATTCCCATTACTCTGAAAGTTAAAAATAGTTCCTACAACAAGGTGGCTATAAGGCCCCATCCAATCTGGCCTCTCCCCACCTGTCTGATCTCATCTCTAATTACTCTCCTCCTCACTCATTCCACTCCAGTCACATGCTCCTGCCTCAGGACCTCCTTTGCATTGGCTCTTCCCTCTGCTCGAAGCATTTTTCCTTTAGATAACGGGAAGTTTACTCCCTCGCTTCCTTCAAATCTTTGCTTAAATGTCACATTCTCAGTGAGACCAACCTTGATTTAAATTGCCACTCTGTCTCTCACAGACACATTCTGTCTCCTTTATTCTGCCTCCCTCCCACCCCAGCACTAATCAGCCTTTATCTACATAATAAATTTAGTATGTTTACTGTCTGTCTCTTCACACTAGAATTTAAGCCCTATGAAGGCAAGAATTTTTATCTATTTTATTGACTGCTGTATCATGAGAAAGAGAAAAGCAGCTCCCAGCCTCTAGAAGCTGTCCTGGTACCACTGGCTAGGTCTTCTACTGACCATAACAATTTCACAGAACATCAGCATCAGAGAAGGCCACGTTGTGACTGCAATGGAGCAAGACACAAATGAGACTACTTTTTAATCACATCTGAACACAGACAAAACAGGAACATTGTTCTCATCACAAAAGTAATCACTCTTCTCTCCAGGCTAATGTGAGTGGCTACTCCTTCTTTACCAATTATAGCTTTAGCTTCCTTGTAGTCTTCACTCCTTATGGACAAGATTTACTAAGATAGTCAATCATAAAATTACCCCTACTTCCTGACAGTATCTAATTCAGAGCAAATCTCCATCTCCGTAAACCTGCCCCCCTCCCAAATCACCTAACTCAAGCCTGAATCCCAGTCTTTTCTAACATCCTCTTTCCACGAGGCCCCACTGTTCCTCATGGTGTGTGTTTTTCCTCTTGCATCAAGTAATAAACCTAATTTGTTCAACTACAGATGTGTTCCTGGTGGTCTTTGGCAGGAGGGCTTTGACAATCTGGAGCTCCCAGAACAGAATCTGGCATACAGAAAGCATTAAAAAAAATATTGGGTAAATGAGTGAATAGAGATTTGAAGCTATAAAGCTATAATGCTTTTGTAAATGACTGATCTGACATTATAAATCTTCCTGTACTGAAAAAAAATTTAGGTCTCCTATGAACCTCATTTTGATAAAAGCACTTACTGAGTTCAGTATTTATCTATGCGATGCTAGATATGGTCCATACAACCGCTACCTGTAGACTGAATAAATAATGTCCTATACTCATGTATTGTTCACACGTATAAATGTTTCTTGATTAATAATATGCACTTAGGTTTGACCCTAAATTAACACAATTATGTATTTCCCATCAATGGCTACTAAAGATACAACTGATATCATAATGGGGGTTCTGATAAATTCTTTGACTCACAACAATTGGGAATAATTTTGAATAGAGCATTAATTCACTCATTAGTCCACTCCATAAACACTTACTGAGTGCCTACAAAGTGCCAAGTACTGGGGACAGAGTAATGTCTCCTCCTCTGTCCCACAAGGAGCAAAACTTCTACAGAGTGGAGGCAGAGTGGTGAGTGCACAAGGAGTTGGGGGAACCCAGAGGTGGGAACCATAACTCTGGCCTGAAGTAGAGCTAAAGCAATAGGTAATGCATGTAACATTCTCAGTGGAGTTAAAAATATGGCTATACATAGAACATGCAGGCACTTGCCACATGCTTTCTTATAAACAAAGACTTAAGCTCAGCAAAAATACTGCACTGAACTAAAAAGTACAAAAAAAAGTGTTATATTCCTTTTAATTCTCAAGGGAGAGAACTAATCTATGGCACACAACACTACACTTTCATTGGAAACTACCCATCTTCACGAAGGAGTAAATTGAAAAAACAAAAACAAACTCAGATAGACTAGTGTATAATTTAGTCCTGAATTTCATTCAAACAAAAGAAGCATCAATCTACTTTTGTTCTACTATGGTAGTTTGAGGGTACATCAGACATAATTCGAATTCTTACATGCATGATTAGAAGAGACAGAACTTCCCCAAAACAAACAGGTTTAGCTGATAATACTGTTTCTTGTTAAACCTGTTACGAATGCTGTCACAAGTACTATCCTAGCTTTGCTAAAGAAAGAGTTATTTTTTGCTTTAAGAATCTGAACCCTGGTCCCACTTCTACATTCATAGTCCGCTCTCCAAGTTCCAGGGTTGCAGAGAACACCTAATGTAATCCCGGGTTGAAAGAGGTTGACTGTCAGCATGTGCTCCAGAGAGATTTGGAACAAAGGTTGCTACATTTAGCACTACTACAAGACCAAAGTCAAAATTAAAGATATCCTGCCTCATGCTGCTTCCTCAAACAGGCCTTCATTTTACCCGGTTCGATTTTCTTCTAAGATGTCTGCGTAACTCATTCCCTCAATCTCCTTCAGGTCTCTGCTCAAATGTCACCTCATCAGAAGATCTTCCCAGGTTATCCTATCTAAATTAGCAGTCTGTCCCCCAGTCACAGTCAATTGCTTTATTATTATTTCCCCCCCTCAGAGAACAAATCAGTGCCCAGCATATTTGTTTGATTGTTGTCTGTCTCTCCTCCATCACTACACTGCAAGTTCCATGACGGTAAAGGGGTCGGTTTTGATTACTGCCATATCCCCAGCACTTAGAATACATGCCCGGTACATAGTAGGAGCTCAAAAAATACTTGTTAAATGAACGGCCTACTAGTTGAACAACTGAGAGAACAAAATATCAACTCCACTCAGATGGAAACCTGAACTTAAAGTTAAGCTAAACAGACGCAAGACAGCCCAGGGTCTGAATCTCACTGCCTTTGTAGGGAATAAGCCCTTTCTTTCTTCATATCAACTTGTGCTTGGTAAACATGCACAAACATCCTTTTAAAAAGATAACAAATCAACAGACTCCTTTGAAAATAAAAACAATGTTTCAACTCAATCCAGTCAATTTCCCTTTAGCACTTTGCTACAAATTAGGTAGTAAGAAAATCTGAAACATCTTTTTAATACTTGCATTCATCCAAGGAAGTGAGGAATTGGCAACATTTTGGTAAATGACAATTTGAATGTTCAAGAAAAGCAGATTCACCAGAATTTATAAAACTCTCTGTAGCTAATGGTATTAGTTTTGAACACAAGAAGGCTAGTGACATTACATACAGCTGGTGGATGATTATAAAGTAATCTGCTTAACTGGTATCATGGGGCTGATGACATGGCATTGATGCAAGAGACAGCATACCAAATAGCAAAGAGCCAAGTTGAAGAGAAAGAAAGCAACCGCTTCCCACTGAGAAGAGTAAATTCTCTTAGAAATACAGCCAAGAAATGAGAAAAAACTTAACTTCCTACCACTAGGGATCATGAGAAATAAAGCTTACCTTTGATATTTAGATTCAGTCTCTAATGGAACCCTGGTGGCACAGTGGTTAAGAGCTTGGCTGCTAACCAAAAGGTCAGCAGTTCGAATCTACCAGCCTCTCCTTGGAAACCCTATGGGGCAGTTCTACTCTGTCCTATAGGGTCACTATGAGTTGGAATTGACTCGACAGCAATGGGTTTGGGTTTTAGCTATACTTCCACTACAAGCAACATAAAATCCATTTCAGTTGTTAAAACGAACTTTACAACATGCCTGCCCACCCCACCACTTATGTATCAAGCTAATATACAGTATACTCTATATATAATAAGTTTTAAAACAATAGAAGGCAAAAAACTTACAGTTGCTTCAAGTAATCCAGGCGCTCCTTGGAAACCCTATGGGGCAGTTCTACTCTGTCCTATAGGGTCACTATGAGTCAGAATTGACTCGATGGCAATGGGTTTGGTTTGGTTTTTGGTTCAAATAATCCAAGGCTCTAGCTAGGAATCACAACTTCTTGGCCAGCTTGAAGATCAACGTTTCTCTATAAAACCAACTTGAGAAATTACGAAAGTGGGGGATTTTATTTAGTGAAATATTTGGCTATAGCATTTTAGGATTATTGGAGCACATTCTATACATCACTAAAAAGGAAAAAAAAAATCAAAATACTCTTTTTAAGGTCATCCCAACAGGATGTATCAAATAATTTTCAAAAAGAAAGATAACAGTAAGAAAACTACTAAAGCAAAGACATAAACATTTACTACTGTCAAAAACCAGGCCAAGAGGATCAACTGTTGAACCAAAAAAAAAAAAAAAAATCCTTTCACTTTGGATCTTTGGACATACCTCTCTAATCCCTACAATCTAATACATAAAAGGTAATTTACTAACAGCGAGTGTTGACTACATGGTAACAAATAACTCAAAAAACAAACCTGTTGTGAGAATCCACAGAAGAACTGGTACAAAAATTGTGGCAAAATGAAACAAAGGTTCTGCAAAAAATTAAGAAAAAGGGTTAATATTTTCATTTGATCAACTGTCTACACTAAAATAGGAAACAGTATCTCAAATAGTCAGTCCTAATCCTTCTAATGCCAGGATGCAATAAACCGCTATTCCAAAGGAATAAGAAAAGAACTCAAAAATACATGATTAATTCACATTAAGATCAACTTTTGCGCTACCAAGGTAGAAAAAGATCTCACTTTATGAGAACGTCTAGCTTATTTTTATTGCAGGGAAGCAATGAGCTCATCCAATATGAACACCTCATGGTACTATACCTTAAATGCCAATTAAATTTGCAAAATCCTTTTAAAGGAGACCGACATAATACTGTAAATGGGTATTTTTAAAGTTAATTAATGCCATTAAAACAGGGAATTATCAGAGTGTGTGCTGACACTAATTGTATAAACAAATGCTATCAACTAATGCCTTTATTACTGCCTCATCAAGTAATCAACACGTAATTACTGAGCACCCACTATATGTAAAGATGATACTGTGAGTAAAAAACAAATAAATAAATAAACAGTAAACTTCCTTCTCCTTAGGGACTTATTATTTAATTGCTGAACACTAAAAACAAGGTGATAAAAACACAAGCTGAGAATTCATAAGGCAATAAAAGCCAGTAAGTGTGACTATAAAATACTGAAATTAATGTCTTCAAGTAAAAGTACCAGAACTAGTATTTTCAAATTAGTGCTATCCTTCAAAGTAGGATGTGAGCTTATTTAAAGCGCTGCTATCATCTGTTCATTACGTCTCCAGATTTCTCTTGGGGAAGCACCTTTAAGAGCCCATTGTTAAGCCATGTCGGAAAACCTGCCTCCTGCCTTCTGTCACACGTTCTCACTCAGCTAATTCACCAGACTTAGCTCTGGGAGACTTGAGGGTGTTTTTAAAAATCAGATCCATTCTTAAAGGATGAACATCTGCCACGGCTAAAGACATTTAGATGAATATACAATAGGCTCTGGAGGACGTTCCTAAAGGAAAGGGCTACACATATTTGAACAATGCCTGCAGCATCAGGACAAGTCTAGGAGTTCCCAAGATCATCACCTGGAACGACAACACTCATTTGTATGTGTTATTTCTAGTACAATGAAAAATATCATCAGTAGCATTTTTAGAGTTATACTTTATTTTTTTAGAAAAAAGAGTGTTCTGAGGCTGGAGGAGGCAGAACTCAGTGGGGAACATGGGCGTATTTTGCAGGGGGAGGAGGGGGCATCTGTGTTCCTCAGTAGAATGTAAGTTCAGTGTGGACAGGGACTTAGCCTGTCATTCCATGATGAATCCTTGGTGCCTGGCACATGACAAGACCCTCCAAACATAGTTGTTGATGAATGAATAAAGAAGTTCAAACTAATTGAACTAGGTCTTAAAGATGAATAGGATATGTTGATAGCTGAAATCAAGGCAAAGCAGCATGTATTTTAAACATACAGTAAAACCTGTGAAAACTGGAACCTGTGTAAGGTGGAAATCTATCAGAGAAGGAAAACGCAAATATTTTCCACTAATAGAGAGGATAGAAAAGTGGTAAGACTGCACCCTGTCAAAGGCAGAAAAACTGCAAGGCCAAGAAAAACAAGATAGTCCCATTGAGTTCCGGCTCTCACAGCTTTCATTGTACAGTCAAGGTGAGTCAGGGCCAGACTGTGGGAGCCTTAAAAGTTAGACTAATCCTTAGACAATGGAGAGACATTTGAAGTTTCTGAGGCACAAAGTGGCATTTTCCAAACATTAACCTGGCTGAACTACACAAGGAGTATGGAGTGGAAAAATAGAAGACAGGAAGAGCTTCCACTGATGTACCATCTCTTCACACCCACAAGGATGGCTATCATCAGATAAACAGAAAAATAAGTGTTGATGAGGATGGGGAGAAATTGGAACCCTCATACATTGCTGGTGGGGACATAGAATGATGCAGCGCTGTGGCAGTTCCTCAAAAAGTTAAGCACAGGATTACCACACCACCCAGAAATTCCACTCCTAGGTATACACCCAGAAGGCTTGAAAGCAGGGACCCAAACAGATTACTTGTACACCAATGTTCACTGCAGCATTATTCACAATAGCCAAAAGGTGGAAACAACTCACGTGTCCATCGACAGATGAACGGATAAACCAAATGTGGTACACACATATAACAGAATACTACTCATTAATATAGAGAAATCAAGTCCTGATACATGCCAACACATGGATGGAGCTTGAAAACATACTAAGTGAAGAAAGTCAGACACAAAAGGACAAATACTATATGATTTTATGTATGTGAAATATCTTGAATAGGCAAATGCATAGAGACAGGAGTTTATTGGTGGTTGCCAGGGATTAGAGGAGGGAGTTGTTGCTTGAGGGGTAATGAGTTTTTGTTTAGGGTGATGAAAATGTTAAGGAAATAGTGGTGATGATTGCACAACATGGTGAATGTAATTGTCACTGAATTGCACACTTAAAAATGGTTAAAATGGACATGCTTTCAGGGGACATCTAAGTCAATTGGCAAAACAAAGCTTATTAAGAGAATGTTCTGCATCCTACTTCGGTGAGGGGCATCTGGGGTCTTAAAAGCTTGCAAGCGGCCATCTAAGATGCATCA